AATGCAACAACAAACAGGGTCAGCGAGCTGGCTGTCTCAGTGGGTAAAATGCCATCCTAACAACCCGAATTCAACCCCGAGATCCTACCATGGAAGGAGAGACCCACTCCTCTGAATTTCATGTAGGTGTGCAGCATGCACATGTCTGCACTCTCTCACACAAAAAATAATAACAGAAATAAACTTTTTTAAGAAGTGAAAAAACCCACTTCTCTACTGAGTCACAGGCCAAATGATAAGAAACACACAATAAAGCAGAGATACATGGAAAAGGAGCCGCTGTGACTAGTCTTTGTGTCTGAATTAGCACGAATGTCAAAGGCCATTTAAGGCACACTCTTAGGCACTGGGGAAAGAATGAACAGAAGGCAAACTCCACAGTGCTTCACAGAGTCTGGTTTTGATCAAAAGAATTTTGCCAAAGCCTGTATAGCTGTAGCAGTGATTTAAAAGAGACTGGGAAGAAGTCTGTGTCTCCGTGATGGAGATATTTAAACAAGCCATCTTGAAAATGTTAAAAAATTAAAATTGTAGAAAGTCGCAGCATAGGTGCCATGTTTTGCCTGAAGTGGTAAAAACACCATCTGCCTCAGTCTTTTAGCAGCATGCTTTTCTCAAGTAGCAGTAGGCTCAACTACAGGCATACGCTCGCTCGCTCGGCTCCAGCTGGGGAAAATACACAGGCGTTTGTAGATGTTTTTCTGAGTAAGAGTAGTCAACATATTCGCTTTCTCTTAGACATATATATTAGTTGCCATAGCAAACCAAGTGTGAACGTGGTCTGAGAGGCTTCTGCACCAGGCCCAACACATACCCAGGAATTCCTGCAATTCAATAGGTGGCACTCTTCCCTCTAGCCCCCAGCAGGGTCAGTAGTGCTTAATGCTAATGCTGGGTGGGCAGTGGAGGGACAGGAGTAGTCAGAAAGCTATCCATGCACTGTGTACAATACCAAATCTTGGCACTAGCTATTTGATCACAATTCAGTTCTGAAAAGTACAGTGTATCTTACAACCCCCTTTTTGGAGTCGCTTTTTAAATTTTATGTGCATTGGTGTTTTGGTATGTGTTTGTGTGAGGGTGTTGGATCCCCTGCAAATGGAGTTACAGACAGTTGTGAGCAGTCACGTGGATACTGGGAATTGAACCTGGATCATCTGGAAGAGCAGCCAGTACTCTTAGCTGCTGAGCCATCTTTCCAGCCCCTTTCTGGAGTCTTTTTTTTTTTTTTTTTTTTTTTTTTTTAGACAGGGTTTCTCTGTGACTTTGGAGGCTGTCCTGGAACTAGCTCTTGTAGACCAGGTTGGTCTTGAACTCACAGAAATCTGCCTGCCTCTGCCTCCCGAGTGCTGGGATTAAAGGCGTGCACCACCAACGCCCGGCCCTTTCTGGAGTCTTAATTGTGCAAGTAAGACAGATGTTCTTGTTTTCATCTGACACTTTAGAGTTGCCACTGTTGCCCATCTACCTTGAGGGGGAGGATTTAATGAATGGAAACTTGATGTATTCTTTGATACCTTAAGAATAAAGACAGCACAGCAGTATAAAACATTCATATCCAGGATCCACTGCAACCAGAACTCAATTAAAAAGTGATGCAAAGCCAGGTGTGGCGGCACATGCCTATAATTCCAGCACTCAGGAGGCTGAGACAGGAGGCTGAGGCATCTTAGGTCAGTTTGGGTTACATAGTGAAATCCTGTTACAAAACTAAATACATGCCTAAATGAAAAGGAAAAAGAAACCTAACATCTTACCTGGTGAATGTTAAAGGAATTCTGGAAAGCCAGTTGGACTGATTTAAAAATGATCACCTCTTTCAGCCCTCCCTTACAACCTCATCTCAGACTGCCTGAGTTTGAGTGATGGAGGTATAAAGCTAGTATGAACAACTGAAATTAACGTTTTATGGTTTTCTGAAACTGATTTTTTTTTCTTTTTGGATAAAATCAGGCTCTTGGGAAGGAAGAAAATTTCAGTAGCAGATAAGTTTAGCACAATCTCCTGACACGGCTGCTCAGTTCTTCTAATTCCATCTCACAGACAGATAATCCTATCAGGGAACCCCAAGCTGCCAACCATGCTGCCTGCATTAGCTACAGTGAACATCAATCATTAGAGTAAGATCACACAGAGCAGAACCGAGAGGGGAGAGACCTGAAGGTCCCATGTTTGTGCTCCCCCAGCCCCACAGTGCACGGCAAATATCACTTCACCACAAGCTGCGCCTAGACCATATATCACCCGAGAGAAGGACAGAATTTTCCCTCCTTTCCCTGTAATACTTGGGCTTCAGTCTGTGTCAGGGTGACAAGATGTGGCTAATTACTGGAATCCATACAGACCAACTGTGTTTTACTTTTAACTGTCACAAAAGCACTAGAAATTCATGGACATTTTTTTGTCTGTGGAGAAACACAGTGACCAGGCTCTGAGAAAGGCAACTGAGGTGAGCAGGGGATGGGCCATATTCTACAGTCAGTATGCTCTAAAATGTCTGTGCCTCCGATACCACACACACACACACACACACACACACACACACAAACACACTCATGCACACATGTGCGCGCACACACATGCACAGGCATAATCACATGAACACACATTGAAGCACAGAGAGAGCCTGGGCTGCTGCTTTCAGAATACTCTCACTCTATTGGGAAAGAAACAATTACACTGAGAAGATCAGCTTAGATCAGGATGATGTTAAGAAAGAGAGGAGAGGAGTGTCTCCTCTAGACAGGGAGGCTTGTGTCAGGGAACTTGTGATGTCAGGCCTGTGGACACTTGTTCACATGGTCATCATGGTAATAGCACAAGAAAGTACAAGGTAATTTGAAGGGACCAGCTCCCTGTTCTGGCAGCCATAACACCTAACACGTGCTTGCCTGACCTTGCCTTGGTCACTAGGAGGTCACAGGCCTGCAAGGAACCAATCAGAAGTTAGCTGGTGGTGCTATGCTTTACGGCTCTGGGTGTGCTTTACAGACAAGTGCACAGCAATGATGTGCAGAGCATAGTAACTGCCCTGGGAGGGCCTATGGGCCATAACAACCAGCTGACCAATCATCACAGGGCAAGTCCTCAAAGCCTGGAGGCACACCAATCCTGAGCCTGTGCGTACCCCTAGAGACTCCCCTTACGCTGCTCTATAAGATCTTTGTCCCATGGTTTCTCGGAGTCTTTTCCCCAACATCCGCCATGGTGGATGGATGAAAGGCCTGAGCTAATGGGGTTAGCTCGTTAAACAACTGCAATAAAGCCTCTTGCTGTTTGCATCAAGCTCTGCCTGGTGATTGGGGTCGATGCAGTCCTGGGCCGAGATCCTGGGGGACTCAGCCTCAAGGGGTCTTTCAAATTAAGTGACTGATCAGGTTCTGCAGAAAGTTGGTAGCATAGCCATTGCTTGGTCTAGAAATGCCTTTTCTTTTTCTTTTTTGAGATAGGGTCTTACTATATATGTAAGTATATTGTATACGTAGGCCAGGCTGGCCTCAAACTTGCAAAGATCTATCTGCCTCTGCCCCCCTCATGCTGGGATTAAAGGTGTGCACCATCACCTGGATGTTAAAATACTTTGATAAGAAATTCTGAGGTGCTGGAGAGATGGCTCAGTGATTAAGAGCTCTGGCTGCTCTTCCTCAAGACCCAGGTTCAAGTCCCAGCACTCTCATGGCAGCTCACAACCATCTGTAACTCCAGACCCAGGGGATCTACTACCTTCGCACTGATACCAATGAACATAAAAACTAATAAAAAAGAAATTCTAGAAAGTCTTTAAGTTACAAGTAAGCTCCTGTAGTCACTAGTCATTTCTCCTTGCCTTCTGACTCATGTTTGCTTTCTTTCACTGCCTTTAGTAAAGCCTGACATATATCTTCACACTACTTTGCTCTGTTGGTAGCTTGGACTCTCTTACCCCTGTGCTGACTAAACCTCTGAAGCTATAAACCAGCCCCAGTTAAATGTTTTCCTTTATAAGAAGAGTTAGTGTGGTCATAGTGTCTCTTCACAGCGATAAAATCCCAAATAAGACAATAGTACACATCTAACGTGATGTGCTTTGTCGTGTGTGCTTTCAAAGGCTCCACAGGTGGTGTGGAACTTGTGCTCATACAAGGTCCATGATGTACAATATGTCACTGATGCTGTGGTTAGAGTGTGCCCCCAAAAGTTCATGTGCTGGCAACTTGCCTCCCCCCCCCCCCAGTTGATATGCTGATGGCGTTTGGAGGGGGAAACTTTAGGATGCAGTCAGGACTAGGTGAGGTTGTGAAGGCAGGGTCCCCATAGTGCATTAGAGGAGATATCTAGTCAGAATGCCTGCTGCTTTGAACCATGTAATACCCTACATCTTTCAAGAGTTGATTCTTTCCTTCTACCCTGTGGGGTTCTGGGGATCTAACTCAGGTCATTAGGCTTGGCTTCCATATGCTTGGCTGCAAGCACCGTACCTGCTGAGCCATCTTGCTGGTCCTCTTTATTCCTGATATCTAACATACTTTATGGAATAAATATACACCTTGTTGAATGAATCTTATTTTATCTGCTAATGATAATCTCTCAGCTTTAAACATCATGATTCTTCTTATTTATTTAAATTAAAGATTATATATTATTTCTTATGTATATGGGTGTGAATTGTGTGCAAGCAAATACACCATGTGTGTGAAGTGAGTAGAGGGTACTGTACTCCCTGGGACAGCAGTTACAGATGGCTATAAGCCACGATTTGGGTGCCAGCAATCAAATCTTATTTATTTATTTATTTATTTATTTATTTATTTATTTATTTATTTTTGAGGCAGAGTCTCACTATATAGTTCTGGTTGGAACGGTTGTCTCTTTGGAGATGAGGCTGGCCTAAACTTACAGAGATCTGTTTGTTTTTGCCTCTAGAGTGCTAGGATTAAAAGTTTGTGCCACCATGCCCAGCTATAATGCTTCTCTTTTGACCTTTCAAATATAAAAGTGACCAAACTGTATAGTACACTCACCTTAGTGTAGTTTAATCTTCCTTTTTCTTGAGCCTAAAATAGAAAAGAAGAAATTAATTTGCTACTTCTGTTTTTCTCCCCTTCCTTTTAGGAATTATCTAGTGTTTTTCATTTTTTTAAAGATTTATTTATTATTATGTATACAGTGTTCTGCCTGCATATATGCCTGCAGGCCAGAGATGGGCACCAGATCTCATTATGGATGGTTGTGAGCCACCAAGTAGTTGTTGGGAATTGAACTCAGGACCTTTGGAAGAACAGCTAGGGCTCTTAACCATTGAGTCATCTCTCCAGCCCTGTGTTTTGTTTCTTAAAGGATAAGATTCACAAGACTGGAAAGATGGCTTGCTGATTAAGAGCATATACTCCTCTTTCACAGTACACAAGTTTGGTTCCCAGCATCCTTGTCAGGTGGTCCACTGCAGTTCCAGGGGTAGCTGATGCTTGTAGTCTCAGCAGCCACCTGCACACACCTCCCCCACATACACATAATTGAAACAGAATAAAATTCAACTCTTTCCCCCATACTTCCCCCTTTAACATATACTGAACCATATACATATTCATATAGCCAGTGATTTCTCTTTCTATATATACAAATATATATGTACAACTGAAGAGTTCTTTTAACTTTTGTCTGAAATCTGAAATTCACACACACACACACACACACACACACACACACACACACACACACACACACACACACTCATTCGCCCCTGCAGGCACACATGGAGGCTAGAGGTCGATATTAGGATGTCTTCTTCCATCACTCTCTACCTTACTATTTATTTATTGAGATAGGGTCTCACTGTGTAGTCCTCACTACCAGTCTGGTCTTAACCACACAGAGCTCTGGTGATGTCTCCTGAATGCTAGGTTGAAAGGCATGTACCACCATGCCTGGACACACTACTTTCTTTTAGTCTAGAGAGCAAGCTCCCAGGATCCACCTCTCTCAGCTCCCCAGTGCTGGGGTTCCAGACATGTGGTGCCTTATCCATCTTTTACTCGGGTGCCAGGGATTCAAACTCAGGTCCCCACGATTGCATCACAGTTTATTCAGAGTCCTATCCCAGGCCTATCTAAGAAGTTTTTAAAAAGTAAAAGTTGAGAGAGCAGCACTCTAAGCACATGTACACACTATCTGCATTTGTCAAGGGCAGAGATCAGGAGTCTTCACTGGACATGCTTCAGCACAGGTTGTTCATTCACAGGCTATTTTATACATATGCATATGCCAATCATCAAACTAAAACCTTAACCCACAATATTCAAGTCTCCCCAATTGTCCCCTGGGCCACCATGGAAGAATTGTCTCGGGTCACACATTCAGTGTATAGTCCACACCACTCCTAAATCAGAATTAATCAAAATTTACTGGATCTGGTTTTTATCTCTTTTTTAGCCCCTGACTCTAAACCAGTATCCCATCTCCATTCTTAATGAAATATAAATAAAAGTCATTTACTTTTTCTGAAAAACCACTGACTTTTGGGGGCTGGTAGTGGAGCTATCTTTAAAATATCTCTTTTTAAACTTTGTCTATTTAATCTTGTGCCCTTTAACTTGTCTGTTCTGCTGTTCTGCTGTAAGATGGCACATGAGGTTAATATCTTTGGAGAGAATTCTTGCCGTGGAGTAGCATGAGCTCCACCAGTGGTGCAGATGCCAGGCTGTCCCACTCCTAGTGATGCTATGAACTGAACAATCATTAGTATTGTGACTGTCACATCATTCTAATGCAATGTCACAATTCTTCTGGACTGTTACTGAGTCATTAGCGGGGCCAGCTGTTTTCCATTTCCCTTGGTGTAGTTTTTCCTAGAATGTGTTGTCAAAAGACTCACCCCACCCCACGTCAGTGCTGAAGACAGTAAACAGAGGAAGTGGTGGGCTGGGGTGTTAGCTCAGTGACAGGACAGTTATCAGGAAATGTTCAATATCCCTCTCTTCCCCCC